CCCTTGATCCTGTGCTTAATGATCTCCTCAGCTGTCTCAATTTCTTCCTGCCCAGTTAAGAAAACTAATATATCGCCATCACCAGGTGGTTGGGTCACATGTATCTGAAGTGCAGTGACAATGGCTGCATCCAAGTAATCTGCCTCAGGTGCTTTAGTATAGTGTATATCCACTGGAAACCGCCTTCCGGGTATTTTAAAAATGGGAGCTGAATCAAAATAGTCACTGAACTTCTCGGCATCTAGAGTAGCACTAGAAATAAGTAACTTGAGGTCAGGACGGAAACGAGCAATATCCTTAACCAAGCCAAAAAGAATATCTGTTGATAATGTTCTTTCGTGCGCCTCATCCACCATGATAACACTATAACTTGCCAAATCAGGTTCCCCAAGGAATTCACGCAACAACATCCCGTCTGTCATATACTTTAGAATGGTCTTCTCTGAAGTGCAATCTTCAAATCTGATTGAATAGCCAACCTCATGTCCAAGTTTGACTCCCATTTCTTGGGAAACACGAGCAGAAACACTCATGGCAGCAACTCGGCGTGGCTGAGTGCATCCCACCTTGCCATGCTTGGTGTACCCTGCCTCGTGCAAATACTGAGGTATCTGAGTTGTCTTCCCAGAACCTGTCTCTCCAACAATGACTAGAACCTGGTGCTCATTGATAGCTTGGAGCAACTCATCCCTATATGGAAAGATGGGCAAAGTTTTCCTGTCTGCTTGAAGTTTCTCAAATGCTGATTTGGCAACAGATGCTTCCAGTTCCTCAATGGCAGACTCCTGATCAACATTAACTCCGTCCATGACTGCCGCTTTTATGAACTCAATCTGGTCTTCAAATGCAAATTGGTAATCTTCAGATCTTGCCTTTCGGTCTTTTGACCCAAATTTGAGTGTAGCTTTGCCAATTTGGTGATCCTCCCATGCTTCTTGTTCAGCAAAGGGGTTCATCTTATCATTAGCATCAGGATCCCTGTAGCGTTGCAATGCAACAGCAAACCTCTTCTCTTGATTTACATCCCCGTCAAGATCATATGCATCGGGAATCCTATACTCGTTTCTATTATCTTCGTCCTCAGTACGCTTCTTGATTAGATCATATAACTCTCTCTTGTACCTCATCTCCTTATATTCCACTTCAGTTAACTTCACGGAATCAAACAAGTATTGCTCATCTTCTATCTCATCTCTGAGTTCGTCTAGTTTCTTCTGCTCTCTTTTCTTCAGGTATTCTTGCCTAGAGACTTTCCTCAAAGTTCCAATCTCATCTTGCTCCAAAGCATTAGATCTTCTGATTGCCTGTTCTTCTTCCTTTTTGGACAACTTTTTCTCAGTCAACTTTCTTGTTGAGGCAGCATCCCTTTCCCTTATGTGCCTCTCCAACTCATCTCTCTCCTTTCGGTCACGCAGTCTTTCCTCCTCCGACTCCGAACCACTACTACCATCACTGTCATCATTCGACTTTCGCTTCTTTACCCGCTTTTCCTCTTCTGTTTCCCCTATTTTCTCTTCATCTTCATCAGCATCAGATTCAGCCCTCTTCCTAAATCTCTTTCCACGGCCTTTCTCTCGCTTATTATCACGACTGACATTAATATCAGCATCAACAACAACATCATAATCATCATCTTCCAGAAGTGTGTAAGTATTTTGCTTCTTTGCAAGCATAGCTGCCTCCCTTTCTTTCTGTTGAATGCTGGGCGCTGAATTAGAAAGCTCCGATAGGAGAAGAGGGGACGAAGAGATCGGCTAATGATCCTTGGTTGGTCTCGAGCTTGGCGGAGAAGAGGAGATCGGCAACAGACGCGAGAGAGAAAATAGGGTTAGCTCAGAGAATTTAGGGGAAGACATGCTCCTTCAATCCCACCCTCTTTGTCCACTTATTTTTTGGCACACTGCACTTCTTTAATCTATTTTATCTGTAATTTGTATATTAAAAAATTATAGAAATTATATATTAATAATCTATATGTTAAGATAAATCAAACAAGATCACACATGACTATATTTAGGCTTACACATTGATAGAATTTGATGAGTCAAAGTGCTTAGATTAACAATTCCAAAAGTCAAAATTGGACGAAGAGAGTGGGACGGAGGTAGTATATTTTTATTATTATGGTATTTCTCCAATCCTATTATAATTCAATATATTTTTTCTCACAATTTTTGATCAAAGAATGTTATTGTTTGAGCAAAAAAGTCAAAATAGGAAGAATTTTTAAGACTAGAGTAAGTATTATGATAGTTCTCTAATCCTAATAATATTGAAGTAAAAAATTCGCATAAACTTAGAGCATGGATAATGACAAGTAAGAAATGGAATAACATCATATAGTCATCTATAAATTCTCTCAATGTGGAAGTTTAAATATAGTCATGTGTGATCTTGTTTGATTTGTCTTAACATATAGATTATTAATCACTACTACAAAGTATGGATACACAACGGATAAAATTAGCCTTTCCCAGCGGATATCACCCGCTATCTATGTAGCCGGTGGGAAAGCTCCTATCTTTACACAGCGGATAAAAATCCGCTGTGTAAAATTAGTAAATCTACACATCGGATATTTATCCGCTGTGAAAGCATGGCTAAAAAGTGCACATAATACAAAGCAGATATGCATCTGCTGTGAAAAAATGGTAATAAAGTGCACATAACGGACATTTATCTCCTATGTAAAGTCCATATTTTTTTTAAAAAATACGTACTATTATTTAAAACTATCAATTCAATAGTATCACATATCCACGCCACAAAAAGTTATTTATAAATAAATCATAAACAAGAACAACATTTTTTGTCCAATTCAACAACAATACCATTGTAATAAGAGCATTACCAACCCATCCAACAAAAAATAGAAAACCCACTGTTTACGTACAACTAAAAATGTAAAGCCCAAACTCAAAATACAAAACAATGTTTGTAAAATATGAACATAAATGTCAATTCATCTTCTTTAACCAGCAGCAATCACCAACATATTAACCAATGTCCTAGTTAAACCAGCAGCCAAATATAATCACTGATGCAGCAAACAAGGCTGGTAAAGGAAACTGATGCAAAATCATTGGCTCCTAAATGTGATATTGGTCAGGAACCTACTATAACTTCATCAACCTGCAACATCAAATAAAATTGCAACATCATCATCATTATCATCATCTTCCAGAAGTGTGTAAGTATTTTGCTTCTTCGCAAGCATTGCTGCCTCCCTTTCTTTCTGTTGATATAGATTTGGACCTTTATCCTTGTGCTCAACTCTCTGAAAAATCTATTCTGCAAATGACTTTGTTTCGGGTGTCGATGATACTCCCACTTCAGTAACCATACTCAGAAGCTCATTAGGAGAAGAAGCTTTCTTGGCTAAACGAATCACATAATTAACCAGGGTAACTTGAGAGTATCCTAGAACTACTATCAAAGAAGCTCATTAGGAGAAGAAGCTTTCTGAAAATTCTTTCTGTTTTGATTTATTTTAGTTAAATAGTTACACTTTTTGACATTAAATTAAACATAACCTAAATAAATAAGAATTTTAAAATTTGATATATCAAACCTTTATCCTAAAATGAACCAAATTAATTTGAATTTAAATTATAATTCAATATATTTTTTCTCACAATTTTTGATCAAAGAATGTTATTATTTGAGCAAAAAAGTCAAAATAGGAAGAATTTTTAAGACCAGAGTGAGTATTATGATAGTTCTCCAATCCTAATAATATTGAGGTAAAAAATTCGCATAAACTTAGAGCATGGATAATGACAAGTAAGAAATGGAATAACGCATGTGATACGGTATCGTATCGGGATAGGGAAGAACTTCGAGCGTTCTTCAAGCTCCAAGAGAAAAGGAGACGAGAAGAGGGGGAGAACCGCGAATCTTTGTTCGGCGGAAGAGAAGAACGAGAGATAAGAGGAAGAGATTAGGGTTGGAAAATGATTGTTCTTTATTGATTTAATTCTAAAGCAATACATCTCAATATATAGAGTGAAACTCTAAAAGCCTAAGGGAATCCAATCTCTAAAAGGAAACTAAATAAAATAAGAAACTAATTAATAACCTGACAAAAATAATATTCTCTAATAATAATAATTATCTAACTATAAATAACTCCTTACCTACAATAATAATAATAATAATAATAATATAATAATAATAATAGTAATAGTCCCGTAACACTCTCCCCGCCTCGAAAACCAACTTGTCCTCAAGTTGGAAATCTAGAATAAACGAGGAATCATGCGTTGTGAACAGACATCCTCCGGGGTCAAAGACCTTTATGAATGGAGCATCAAAAGAATCGGTCAAGCTCAAAGCATTAACAACGCCAAGCAAACAACTCCAGAGAACCAATAAGAAGAAAATCATGCCAGCACGCTTGACATCCCCAGAATCATAAAGGACAACAACGTCACTTCCTGACGTCCCAAATGTTTCTGTGCATTCATAAAAAATGACACTATCTCTGGAATATTCTGCTTGGACAGTGTGGTCTTGTTGATCGTCACCAGAAACATCAACAACAACAACATCATCAACGGTAACAGGAACAACATCTATGGGATCAATAATAAGATCATCATCGGGAACACCAATGGGATTAATAAAAATTTCCTTTTTAAATTCCTGGTCTTGCAAAGTTGTGTTCTGCACAGCTACTGTAGGGGCCAAATCTCGGGGAGTGCCAATGAGTTTCCTTATAGAGCGCATCATGGTTGTTTTGAAAATATATAACTCTATAGGAATCAGGCTCGGCATAATTGGGAGACCACAGACTAAATTTTGTATTGAACAATAGGCCTCTACGGAAAACGCATATACCTTGTAATCATATTTTGGTTGACCTTCAATTTGACGGAATGCCTGAAGTTTCTTTATAATCTCATCCACGGAATCTTCAACTGCACACACTCCTTCATAAAATTCAATTTGTCCCCGTAGAACTTTCTCGAGTGAACCAAGAACTTTGTCCAAAAGTGAATCCATTGCGTGTGCTGTAGATTTTTTTTTTGTATTTTTTGGGTGAGTTCAAGAATGAAATCACCAATTGATACGGTATCGTATCGGGATAGGGAAGAACTTCGAGCGTTCTTCAAGCTCCAAGAGAAAAGGAGACGAGAAGAGGGGGAGAACCGCGAATCTTTGTTCGGCGGAAGAGAAGAACGAGAGATAAGAGGAAGAGATTAGGGTTGGAAAATGATTGTTCTTTATTGATTTAATTCTAAAGCAATACATCTCAATATATGGAGTGAAACTCTAAAAGCCTAAGGGAATCCAATCTCTAAAAGGAAACTAAATAAAATAAGAAACTAATTAATAACCTGACAAAAATAATATTCTCTAATAATAATAATTATCTAACTATAAATAACTCCTTACCTACAATAATAATAATAATATAATAATAATAATAATAATAGTAATAGTAATAGTCCCGTAACAGCATGATGACGTGAAGTTTTTTAGCCAATCAAAATCAGTCTAGTCAGTGCGTGGCAAATGAATAAAGTTGGATGCCTTGAAGTGGCAAGTCACTCTTTTTATCATTTTTACTCTTTTTAATACTCCCTCCGTCCCCCTGTATTTGTCCACATTTGACTTTTGGAACTGTTCATCGAAGCACTTTGATTCATCAAATTCTCTCAATGTGTAAACCTAGATATAGTCATGTGTGATCTTGTTTGATTTGTCTTAACATATGGATTATTAATATATAATTTTTATAATTTTTTAATATACAAATTACAAGATAAAATGGATTAAAGAAGTGCATTGGATGGTGTGTAAAAATGAAAGTGGACAAATACAGGGAGACGGACGGAGTATATTTTAACTAATAAAAATTATTTTTCTTTTTTTAATAAGAATAATAATTGTTATTTTTTTAAAAAAACCTTGTTTTACAAAAACAAATTTGAAAAAAAAGGATAAAAAACATAGAACAGATGGCCTTAGACTCCTTAGAGCATGGGTAGCGGGCGAAGCAAATGCCTGCCACGCTTGCCACATCAGCTCCCAAAAATGATTTGTCATGCTTAGCATGGAGAGGCAAACCATTTCACCACGGAGAGCAAGCCATCTCCAAGGCATCCCACACATCTTTTTCTTTTTTTCTTTTTATTTTTTAATTTTTTTGAGAAAAAAAATACTCTTTTTTTAGGAAGTAGAAGTATTTTTGTAATGAAACAAATAGAAAAAATTATTTTTAATAATTAAAATACACTACAAAAATTTTAAAAAGTGACAAAAGTAACGACTTGCCACTGTAGGGTGTGCCACTCTACTCACTTGCCACTCTGTGACTGGACCATTTTTTATTAGTTGATTTATGTCATGTCAACGTGTGACAATCTTTTTTTACTTGTCATTGTTCATGCTCTTATGTAGTGTCTCGCAACTCGCAAGTCAAGGTGGAACGCCTATGCATTGCTACCCTACAATTTTTAACATTTTTTAATCATTAAAAAATATTTTAAACTTTTTTCGATAAAAATAAATGTACTCCTTAGAAAAAAAGACTTTTTTTGTGCAAAAATGAAAAAGAAAGAAAGAAAGAAATTGGAATCCATTCCCTCACACATGCCATGCTAACCGTAGAGGAATGCATCACCCATGCGAGGCAAGTTGAAAAAATTATTGAGCTGGCAAACATGGCAAAGGAATTACATGTCATTGCGTTTGCTCTTATAATATTCAGCGTAATTAAATTTACGTTGCATAAAACCATAAATAATATTTTCTTCGTTTATAATTTATTTTCTCACTTTTCTTATTTATCTGTCTATAAATTCTCTTCCGATTTCTTTTTTGGTAAATATTTTTTCTTTATATCACATTACTACTCTCACATTTACCTAGTAATTATTATATACACCTACGCTTTATTTTACATTTTACAATGTTCCATAGATAAATATGAAAAGTCAACACATTTTTTACTTTTTTTTAACTTACATCTAAAGTCAAAATGAGAAGATAAATTTTAGACGGAAGAAGTACTTTGTAATAATAAGTAATAAAAACACTCATTAATCTCAAAGTTTATTTTATTCCTAAAGAAATTTGAGGCTAAGACAACTTTAAAGAAAAAAAAGAGAAATTTATTTTGATGGTGCATAACCACTTTAAAAAATAAAGTCTTTGTGTAACACATTAATGCCCCGCCATGACCCGGTGTCACTCACATGAGAATGTAAGCCAAATTAGGTTTGTTTCACAACAATTTTTTTCTTATAAATTCAAAAACAGTTCATTTGTTTGATTTAAAAAAAATCATTCGCGCAAGCAACCATGCCAAAACTTATAGTTAAATTCAAGGATTAAGCTTATACCAAGGTTCCCATGACATTGCCAAGCAATGTCATGGGATGACTCGGGGCGCTCCGGTGCCTCGTCCGAGAAATTGACGGTTTCTACTCCCTAATCCCCCGGTAAACCCCCCACCCGCCCCACCCCGAACACACCCCCACCACCTTCAATTGCACTCCAGAAGTTGATTTTGACTTTGGAGTCAAAATTGTACGTCCTCGTCTCTCCAGCTAGTCGTATATATTGAGGGATCTACTTCCACCCTGCGTTTCTACTCAAATTTGAGATATAAATATAATTTTAGAGCTATATATAGCAAGAGATTGTGACTTCAGGGCTCGTCCTTTTTTTATTTTCTCTTTTGCATTTATTAGGGTTTTAATAGACGTCGGTCCCATGGTCAAGTCCCCATCGCCCATCCCTAGTCCAAGGAGGCGACAGACACTTGAATTTTTGCGGCACATTAGGACAAACTGTCACAAGGACTTTCTCCTTTGAACTTTCGGTCAACACACGTGGGAGATCATTTGGTCTTCATTTGTGCGTAAAATGACTCACTTTTGGAAGATTACTAAGAGCAAATTTCAGTTATGTGAGGAATAAAGGCAAAGACTTTTGTATCATAGAATGACAAGTAGTCACTATTCAATCAAACACTTCTTTTGGCATCTGAGGGTGACTAGCTCCTGTTATATGTGTGGGGATAAATCATTCTTTAGAAAATAGGGGTGTTTTCGGCCATGTAGGAAGGGAGAGTAGAAACATCATTTAGCTAAACAAAATACCTTAAAGGATAAAGTATTAATTCATCGTTAAGGAACCTCTTTTTGGTAAAAAGTATTTCCTTTTGACCTTTTCTTCTTGCTTTGTATCTCTCATGATAGTGAAATCACGTTATGGAAACCCTTATGTAAGAATGAGAGTTACCTATAAAAAAAAGAGTCTGAACACTTTTTTGTTGTTACCTTTTGGGTGACTTACTATAATATTTTTGTATTGAAATAACTTTGATGCAATTAAAACTAATTTTAATAATGTCAGAAGATAGTTGTTCTGGGATGAGCTTCTTCTAAGCTCCATCAGTTGGTGCAGAAGAAGAAGAAGAAGAAGACTGTTTAGGCGCCCCTTCTTCTTCTTTTTCTTCTCCAGTTTCCATGTCCTTAACGCCTGCAGCTGTTACTGTGGATGATGAACAACCAGCCCCTCCATCGTCTTTCTTCTTGACTGCTCTCTTCATCAGATTCGTCTTCCATGCCAAGGGAGCCCTTCCGAAAGAGTTTCACGCGTTTATATTCATCGTAGTGGGCCCGACTATGCTCCTTAAAGCGCCTGCTTCTTTCTGAATCAGAACCTACAAGGAATATATGACAAACAAGGGCATACCAGATCAGGATGCTCGAAATTAGTTCTTGGATACAAGATTATGGCAAAATGTAAGGAGAACTAGGGCATGCAAAGCATTGTAAATAGGCAGAATTTTTTGTGGTTTAATAGGGCAAAAAAATTGGTCGTGGAAACTATAGGAATCAAACTTTCAGAAAATTTGATTGTCTCATGAAAAGATTGTTGGGTCTATTAAATTTGTGAATATCAGGGTGGGGCAAATTGTGAATTACAAATTTAATTAGGATAAACCTTGCCACATAAAATCCAGGACTTACCCTGCTAGTTAAATGCCAAGTGCCAAACTTGTGGCTGAAATCAAGATTCATAGTGTCTGTCTAAGGCCCTGTTGGGTAACAAGTTCTAGTTTTTTTTAAATATAAAATTTACTCGTAACATAATACAAGTACCATCTTCACTTATTTGGCTGAAGTAGATACCAAATGCTTTTCATTTCAAAAAATTCAGAAGTTTCAACCATTTCAGTCAAATAACTTCACAGAGTGGGCCCTAAAACCTGGTTGCACTTGAAGCAGACGTGCCCTTTTTTGCTACTACAAATCTGACAAAGATCGGACTGCTCCAGAAAAATGGGGGATTCAACATTCAGTAAAACAACTAGGAAAAAGGTTTATGCTGAACTAGAATACCTTCGTCATCTTCATCCATTTCATCTGCCTCATCCTCGGAAGATGGCCATCCAGTTGGACGTGTTTTGTCATTCCTGGATTCAACATCTCTCAATGCCCTCTGAATAGCTTCAGCATGAATTCCATTGCCAGTGCCATCTTCAGAGCTATTCTGTACAGGAGACAAAGACCCTACCACAATCATTGATTTAGGTATAAACTAACGGAACAAGAGCTAGATTCAAAAAAAGTATAAAGCATATGTGGACCTTAATACCCTATGGTTGTATCATGCATCCACATAGAAGCTTTACTGCTCAATGAAGAGTTCTTTAATTATTTCTCTGTTCTAGTTTGGTTAGGGGATTTCAGAGGGAAAAGATGATATTTAGTTTACTCCCTCCGTCTCTAAAACAAGTTCCCACGTTCCATTTTTTATCATCCCATAATTTATTCTCACTTCTATATTTGGTAAGTTTTTCATACTTAAAAGATTATTATACCGCGGGTTAAATATGCTTTTGGTCCCTGTAAAATGAACGGTTTTTGCTTTTAGTCCCTCTAAAATATTCTTTTATAATTAAAAAGTGGAGTAATTCTTATACCACCTCCCCCCCCCCATTTTTCCAACCAGAGTAATAATTACTCCACTTTTACCCCCATCCCCACAACACACCCTACTTTACTTTGTCCTCATCTTTTGTTTCTCACCTCATTCCCACAAATGAATGTGTAAATGGGGTGGGGAATGGGTTAGAAGGGGGAAAGGACACAACCATTAATTAGGATTCGACATGATATAATGTTAAATTATTAAATCAGGTTTTTTGTAGTTTTGCTACTATTCATAACTTCATTTACTGCAGCCACCATCCTACATGGTCTAATGATTGACGGGCAGTTTTGGAAAGCTATACATGAATTTGACTTTTCATTATAATGTGTGAAGTCAAACCCACACTTTCTTTTGGGGATGGAGGGAGTATTAGTTTAGAAGTAGATTGGTTCAATAGAAAGAAAGTGAAGATTATAGAGTATAGACTATAGATTATTTAAATAATTTAACAAAACAAATACTCCGTAAAAATTTTCAGGTGTAGGCAAAACAAATATTACTTCATCCCACAATACTCGTGTCTGACCAAAGCAACTTTTAAGTTTCAGCAAGGTACAAACAACCAGACATGTATCATGAATCATACTTACATGTTTAAACTTATGAATTGGTTTAACACAATTCAGCCTTTGAAACATGTAAGCTTTTGGGGTGAAATTTCATGAAAAGTAGCATGATCGTGTTTTAAACCAGCCTCTATTTTTTAGAGAACAGGAATACCAACCTACTTGTCTAGCCCTTCCTCTTCCAACAAAACCCCCCACAAAGGGTTAGAGTAAGAGGCTCAATAAATAACAAATAGCAAATACAATCATAACCTTAATCAAAGTAGGCTAACTAACAACCCAACGTGACAATACCATGTGAGAACTTGCAAAAGAATCCTTGACAAAGTTAGAAATTCTAAAATAAAAACAAGAAAATTGCATTAAAAATTCAATTTGAGCACACAAAACAAGAGAGCGTCATTAAGAAATGATACATGAATGAAACCTGGAGGTATAAAGAAATATAGCATTCATTCTTGACATCTGACTTTCATCATTGAATCCATGCAGAATGATTTTCAAATATATATAAATGTTTTGGAAAATATAAAAAACAGACAATAGGGGCATAAGAAAAGTGAAAATTAAAATGTACCATAATCATCTTCATCGATCATTGGGTGATAAGGTGTCTTTGGCTCTGTTATTTTCTGCCTTACTGGTTTGTTTGCCTCGATTTCCCCTAGATTAGTTTCATCCCATCGTACACGACCCCTGGCGCAGATCAAAAGTGAAAACACTTAGAACTAAATTAAATTGGCCAGAAATAAATCACATTATAACAATATTTTTGTTCGGTAGGGGAAGCCAAAGTTTTGGCCGCACAAGTGTTACACCGTATATAATGTACCATCTATCTTCCGATGTAAATGTGGTCTCCAGATTGTTAAGGATATTGAAGCCAATCTGTTATGTCACTGACTAGCATATCACATACTTGTTTCTTAGAGGTAAGTGAAATTAAAAAATGTTGAATTCGAAAAACATTCATAAAAAGTACCTAGCTTATTATTATAGAAGAATGCTAGGTGTCCAGCAAGACTAACCACCCTAGACTTTTCTCAGAATTTCATACTAATACAGATATTGATGGCCCGAGCGTCTGGAGAACTAGGATTAAGGTAGTCGGGTAGGCGCTTTGGACTTAGTGGTAGTTTCTCCACTTGTTGGGTGCTTCGTTTGTCGTGTAGGTTTGGGCTCTGTGATTGATGTGTTTTTGTTCCGTTTAATTAGTTTGTTCTAGGCCTCTATGTGCATTTTGCTATCTCTGCTATATGCCTTATGTGATCTCATTTTATCTTTACTGTTTGAGCCGAGGGTCTCTTGGAAACAGCCTCTATACCCTTGAGTAGGGGCAAGGTCTGCGTACACACACCCTCCCCAGACCCTACTCTTGTGGGATCTAGCTGGACTGTTGTTGTTGTTGTTGTACAGATATTGATGGCCTCCCTCCTGCCTCTCAATCAAATTTCAGGCAGAATATCCACCTAAAATGCCCCATTATCAACACTCCACGTGGAAAAACTTCTGTTACAAAATGACATGATTTCACCATTTTTTGTGATGTTGTACCCTTAGTCATAGCCTTTTAATATTTCATTAGTTTAACAGGCTTAAATGGTTTTTTTTGAGTTGTGTTGTGTCATTCAGAAACACTCTCTCCACCTTTTCATGTAGACATAATGTGCACCAGCCCCCTTCGAAAAACCCCACTTGTGGATCTTAATGACTTGTAGAATTCTGTACCAAAAGCATATTTAACCTTGATATGAAGAGCCTAGTAATGTTACATATGGATCGTCTGGACAGGATCTAACATACATGACAATATGTATTCAATCAAACCTATTTCAAATTAAACAAAATGGAAATTTTGATGTGATTCATCTTGCAGTCTTTATATCAGACGATATTTAGCATGACCTGCTTGCTTTTTTTACTTCTGACACCCCATATAGTCATATTATGATTAGACTTATAGAACATATACCAAAATAGATTATACACTGAATAGAAATGCTACTTCCATGTAAATTAAAATGTCTTCTCGAGAAACATTGTCGATTACTATTTACTTTCTACCCTTCTATAATCTACAATTCTAAGCAAGCATAGAATAATACAGGCTGGTAAGAATAACAATAAAGTGCCAAGAGAGATCATTACTTCATTTCTGCTGTCGAGCCAAATCTTTTTCAAATAAAATCCAGACGAACACACTCTTCCTGAAATTACGGAGAATGTTCTTCAGAAATCTATGCAGCACGAACAGGCCAAACTGACTCAGAAACTATAAGCACAGGATGTGTTTGGGGTGGATTTAGATCTGTGTGTTTGGGGCAGCTTGTTTTGCAGATACTTGAATCTTTCTCTGTGGCAGCTTACAATCTAACAAGAAAAGGGTTTTAGAAGTAGCAAAATACAATAAATAATCTCAATTTCATGTACTCCGTACTAAAAACTTGATGATTAGTATTTTCTTTAGATAAACATAGCCAACAGAGGGGAAAAATTCAACATGCTATCTGAAAAAACACATCTTGTTCCTCTGGGGTATTTTGAAATTCACCGTGCAGTTCCTCAGATTACATAATTTCATTTTCTTCCATTTCAATTTCATTGGGATTATCCCTTCAATTATAGTCCATACCAGTGAGAAGCTAAAAGAACAATGAGAAACATGAGGATTTGGCCATTATTAGAAAACCGATTCATTGAAAACGAAAAAGCAAAAAAGTTGAAATTGAAAAACGCAATTACTGGAATTTGGAATCTATTGACATGCTCTAAAATTGAACCACATTTGGAATCGAAACAAAAACATACATAAACTATAAACAGAAAAATCGAAAATCGTTACCCGGATGAACAGAACCCTCGAAAAACTCCAAAATCGAAAGGATGGCAAACTAGCCTAGCTGACATCGTCAATGGGTTTGATGGAAGGATTCCAGAAAGAGTCGACTGGGGACGATAAATTTGTCAAAGATCTCGTATTTTTAGTCATGCGGTTCAAATTATTTGAGTTAGATAATTTTAAAAAAAATAGAGTAAATTCTATAATTGGTCCTTTATAACATGGGGTTTCCCTATTTAGTCCTCTATTATCAAATATTACCCAAATGGTCCTTCTTTTATGGGTACCTTTCTACAAATAGTCATTTTTTGATCTTCTATCATGTTGGTGTTAATTTGAGGACTTTTAGTGTAATTTCACAATGATAATATATCTTTTTTGTCATATACAATTCCAAAGACTGTTCCGTTTGCGTCGTTTGTGAATTACAGTCGCTTTTTACGACAACTATAGTCTACAAATATGATCTTTCGTCAGAATTCTAGCCCACAATCATAGTCATTATTTTTGTGTTATCCGCTTAACCAATATCAGAACACGTCACTAGACATAATGTCGGCGTCAAATTATACTTTTAGCCTTTAAATTAGCACCAACATGGCAGAAGATTAAAAAAAGGGCCATTTGTGGAAAGGTACCCTTAAAAAAGGACTATGGGAGTAATATTTGATAATAAAGGACTAAATATGGAAACCCTCATGTTATAAAGGACCAATTATGGAATTTACTCAAAAAAATACTTCCTCCTTTCAAAATTTTCATTGTGGGGTTTGACTTGTAGATTAAGAAAAGTTAAAAAATATAGATATTTTTTATGTCTTGTCCTTGATGTGATGGAATAAAATGAATAGTATAGAGAAAAAGTAAGATATAATACTACATTCATTAAAAGTTTTTTGCCAAAATAAAAACGGAAAAGTCATTTTTGAACCTCTCAAAAAGGAAAGCGAGAAAGAAATTAACAGGCAGAGAGAGAGTAGAGAATATCAACTAGTACCTCAAATTGGATCTTATTATATACTCAAAACTTTGAACGGGTTGCACTTACATTTTGTGTTTGTGTATAGCTTTGTGGTACAAATTTGGGATAAAAGTAGCACAACTCAAAAAGATATGTCTGCCACCAATCTACGACCGTCTGAGGGTACGAATTTCATATTTTACATATCTATTCCCAATTTTAATTTTCAACATTTTTTTATTTTATCTAGTTTTTTCGACTTCTACAAGTGTTTTTTTTTCAATTTCTTCAAATGCATTTAAGTTTCATTCAGTTTTTTTAAATTTGTTCCAATTTTAACAATGACTAAGAAATAATTAACTTTTATTTTTCAAATTTTAAGTATTGTTGTTGTTATTGTTGTTTCGTTATTGTCGTTATCTTATTATTATTGTTATTGTTATTGACATTGTATTGTTAATGGCACGGATGCAGCCAGAAAAATTTACCTATTAGGATGAAGATGTGTTGAAGTCTTTTAAGAAGGTATTAGAGAATGTCCCTTGTGAAGAGCACTTTCTTTTTTTAATGATGAAGTGCTACAATGTTAGAGTAGACTTGAATATGGTTCTCGTTCTAAACAAGTACCGGAAAATGGAACCAAAACAAATGGCTGAAACTGCTGATTCTGGTTCTCATTTTTTTGTATCGAGACATGAATCCGTATTGGTTTATCTTTTTTGTTTTTTATATTTTTAATACACTCTCTGTTGCAGAGAATTTGTCTAGTTTTAACTTTTTGCAATCAATGTAGATCGCCCTTTGACTTATACTCATCATTAAATAAAAATTACTTACTATATTAATTAGATAAAGAAATATTTTTAAAACATTTTACAAGATAAATCTATTAAAATATTTTCGTATCAATATCTAATATAAATTTTATTTAGTTTATTATGAAAGTTTATAACATTTGACTGCAAAAAGTTAAACTAGGACAAATATTTTGTGACGGGGGTAGTACTTATTTTCAATTTTTCGAGCTTGATTCACAATATTTACTTCCAAAAAAGAGTTTGGAGCCAATTATATAACTTTTATACCAAAAATATTTTGAATACAATTAAAATTATTTAGAAATGGGACAAAAGCCGAAAGCGCCCCTACGCAGTACCAATTCCGGTTCTCCTTAAATGGGTACCAGAACAAAAATCAGACCGGTACCGTGTCCACCATGTTAGAGGGCTAAACAGCCCTAATAAACAAGATGAAGTTCCTTATTTTATGAGGAAGTATGATATTGTTCTATGTGGTTTAATGGAAACAAAAATTAGAGACGTTAATTTTAGTATTGTATAACGCAATATTTGTAAGTGTTGGAGTTTTTATATCAACAATTTTGCTCATCCTTTGGGTAAGATTTCAGTTATTTGGAGTCCAAATAGAGTTGATGTTAGTATGTTACTAGTTTGGAAGTGTCTGATCAGATGATTCACTGCAAAAGTAAAAGAAAATATTATGGCTGAGGTAACTAAAAGAAAATAATCAAAATATTGAGAAACTTGCTTCCAAACTCAAGAAGCTCTTATGTTTGATCATGGTAATAAGCACCTCATAGCACAGGAGCAGTCCCTTAGCATTTAGCAAGGAATTAAATTGGAGACTTAGGTTCCGTTTGGTATACAGAATTCTACTATGAAATTAGAATTGAGGACAACAATTCCAATATAGCTTAAATTTATTACTTTAAAATTTGTGTACATGAAACCAGGGAAAAAACGAGTTTCCCTATATCGTCATGGTTCAGGAACCAAGAAGGCACATCCAACAAAATAAGGGAGCCGCCAGAGAACAATTTAACAACTGATATGCGAAGTCAAATATAAAAACAAGCATTCGTGTTTCCTCACTTGACAAACATATTTTAAACCATCTGCAAATGCTCATAGTACCATTCATTCACTTTGTTGACTTAGCTGCAACGTGAGTCTTCTTTTCCTTCACAACTGGCTCGGATTCTGCAGGAGAAGAGATAATGAATGAATAAACAAATAACTGAATGTGCCAAAGATTCAAATGCAATGAATTTTTTCGGCTGAAGTTCAGTAAAATTATTTGTTTAGTTTCTTAATAAGAATATATTACAATAACAAATGTCATGGAGTTCTATTAACCGCCTACACACTATTTATACGTTCTTAAGTGTGCCAAGTTCTGATTTAAAAGAACAAAAAGATCAAATGTGTGAGCTTTTGATAGAGTAAAGAGTCTTGAAAGATGACAGCAGATATCCAAATGCAATCCATCAGCAAGTAGTTTTCTCCCACCATCCCTCTCCAGGAAACATTCACAGCAACCCAGCAACAAGAGGGTGTTACAGGAGTAATTTTGATAATGCTTCCCACCTTCTCCTTTGTATAGAAGAAGTTTGGAATGTTTGGGAGTGTTTGATTCCCAGCCTTTGTAAGAGAAAAGCTGAGAAGCACCTCCGAGAAGCTTTTAGATTATGTTGTCAAAATAATCACTTTTTAAAAAATTAAGCACACCCCAACACACTCTAAGTACGGTAGGCTCTTAAATGGCCTGCAACAGGAATGGAGTTAATATCCTCCAAAAGTTTCTGGACCCATGGCAAGCACAACAATGCAGCCTTTGCAGAAAATTGACAAACTGGTAGTGATCGAGGAGCATTGGAGGGGTCAATATGTAGTTGGTGCACAACTGGCTTAAGGTTTGGATTGTGATTGACAACAACATCAAGTTCTATCTAATTGATTCATAAAAGAAAAGGTACTGGAAAATGTTCCATGCCTCGGTCTGCTGAGGTAATGCATCTGCAGCATTATTACTTACCCCTAACTTATTCACAATTTCAAAATCATATCCCCAATAACTCATCCACCGATATTTGTTGTGAAGGTAGTGAAAGGTTATTATGGTAAGTGCAGAAGACTATGGTGGTTACTGCAAACACCGTCTCCCATAAGATAAAGGCACAAAAGCTTAATGGCTAGGGTGAAAGCCATCGATAGAGAACATAGTTGTGAAAGATTGAGTTTATTGAGGAGCTAAGTTGAGAGGGATAGCACTGAGTAGTGAGTACCATAAGGTAATTCACCAGTAAGAATAAGTTTTGCCCAAGGCCACAGCCATAATTTGAATGCAGAGTTCTTGATATCTTGCATCAGTTGTATGGTGTACAAATTTGCAATTGTAAAACAGAATTGAACAAGGTAAGAATAAAAATGGTAACAGTTGATCGCCTATCAAGTCTCTGGTCCTGAAAAATATATTGAATTCCTGGTCTTGACTCTTGAGCAATCTCACTAGTTGCCTTTTACATCCTGACTTATCAAAAAATCTATTTTTTCCTGTTATTTGGCAAAAACAAGATTTGCATGCACGTTACATATAATAAGAATTAGTTTCTACCTTGATCGAGACTTTCTTGTGACAAAAGTAACGCTCCGTCGGTCCCACAATTAACTTTATACTTCACTTCTTCGTATGACCCAAAATAAACTTCATGTTCATATCATTTCCTCTTTAGGAAAAGAATATGTAGATCAAAGCATTTCTCATTCTTCAAAACAAAATTCAACCGCAAACTTTTCACTTTTTTTTAAACTCAGTGATGTCAATATGTCAATTGAATTGTGAGACAGAGGGAGTACAATTCAGCACATAAGAATGCGCTAGGTGAAGGGGATAAATGATAAAAGCACCACAAAAGTATAAATAAACAATTAACTGGCAACCACTCATCAGTTAATCTTGTTATTCCTCCATTAATCTTTAAACGCTTGTTAGTCGTGCGCTGATGCATTCAAAATGTTTGAAGCTTCCAACTTTTTTTATAGAGAGAGAGACCTAGTATTTCCACAGAGATACTGAAAAAAAGCATATATGCTGATATACGTTGATTGGTTTTTCTTCTTAAATTTCAATATATATATTATTAAAGATAATTTTCTCAAAAAAATAAAGATAATAAGATACAATGCCATCCCACTGTACCTACTTAAATTTCCAAAGAAGCAAACATTCAAAGTTTACCCACTCAAAGACTACAGCTGAATCACTTATTTCCTTAAGCAATATGTAAGAAATGATTCAAATATAAGGGAAAACATACTGGATATGAGCGCCCTTGGTCTGGTTTT